AGAAATGAGAGAATTTGTATGAAGAAAATTCAATAATAAAAACAGTAAGGTGTCGAGAATCCATAATGTTTCGTTCACCAATCCAAGTTTTGATTCACAATATTAAATAACCGAATAAATTAAATCTGTATGTTGACTTCAGAAATATTATTATTACAAGTTATCTAAAATCGACAATATATCAATCTGACAATATTGCAGTAAAAGACAATTTATAAAATAATTTGAATAACAAAACATTGCATGACAGAATTACATAAGAAAAGCGTGACTGAACTTATATAAAAATTGGCACACAATATTTTGAAAAGTAATAGAAAAATAGATGAGATTTAATTCATTCAGATGTTGAAGTTTACAGAACCCGAATTGGGTCACTCAACAGAAGTTCATCTCTAACCTCACCAAGAAAACTCTAGCCTATCTTGCAAAATATTCTCACAAGTTCTAGAGAGAAAATATGAGACTGACAGCAAGACGACAAAAAACTGAATATTCAAAGCTTTTCAAAACCTTAGGCTAACCCCTTTACTTATAGTGTTCAGAGGTTGCCTGTCAAATAAAGAAATAAATAGTAAAACTAGAAAATTATTAAAAAAAAGGAAATAAAATAAAATTACACATAAATTAGGAGAAATCATATATTTGATTTGGGGAAGAAATCTGGTAATTTGAGGAGAAGAAATCCGGATTCAGCACATCATCTGGACACGTGTCGAAGCGGTTGAAGGCAGGGAATTGAGACGCCACGTGTCGCGCTCAGAGTGGCTGGCGTGTGCTGGCAGAAGGCTGTCGCAGGGACAGCTGGGACCCGCATTGGACAAGTGTCGTGTGCAGAGTGAGCGGCAGTTCTGGCGTGAGCAGACGCTGGACCCATGCGAGGAAAGCCTTGGAACGCGCTGGAGAACACGCGTGCATGGGACGCGCTCCCTGAGGTGCCGCGTACGGTTGACGCGCGAGGCGCGCGATGGCGGGAGAAATGGGCGCGGATTTCCACGCTGACTGTGCAGTGGCTTGGCTCGGTGGCTTTGACTCGGCTTAGCTGAACGGCTTGGCTCTCTGTGTTGTTGAAAATATAGCTTTCATGGCTTAATTTAGTGTAGCTTTTTATACTACTTTTTATCTGTAAATAATTAAGCAAAAACTATACAAATTCTAATTAAAAATATTATGAATAAAAATAATGGAATTGCTTAATTAAAGCTTAAATATTTTAATATTATATAAATCAAAAGCAGTATTTAGGGTGCATTTACATGCACTGATCATCTCTCTATAGCTCTTATGAAAGTAGGTTTAGAAACACACCTTGTGTAGAACAACCGCAACAACGAGACAACAATCTGCATTCATTCTTGAATGTTTTCGGGTTGAAGAAGAAGCAAAAGACGACGACGACTCAAGGTCAAGAAGAATCTGGGAGTGGATCTTCATCAAGAGGTAGCGGCAACAGCGGCGACGGCTTCAACGAGTTAATGGCGTACCTGAGTGAGGGCTTAGTTGTCGACAATAGTGAAATGTTTGATTAATTTAGTTTAGTGGTGGAGGGCATGAGCATTAACTTGGTCGACCCTAACTCGACTGGCAATGGATATTTTTTTTATCCCAGTCTCCACTGTTTCAGCCGAACAAGCATTCAGTACAACCAGCTGAATACTTGAAGAATGGAGAAACGCATTGCAACAGGATATTGTTGAAGCTTTGGTGTGCATCAAGGATTGGGATATTTCCGACCAACGCTTACACAATATAATTTCACCGGCAAGCCAAGAATGGATCAATGAATTTAATAGATTAACTTTTGATTTTCAAGACGATCCTTCTGCTTCAAATTAAATTCTATTATTGTAATTTGTAAATATTTATTTACTTTGTACATTGTTATTGTAATCTTGTATAGACTTTATAAGTTCGTCAAATTTGTAATTCGTCTCACAATGATTGCACTCTTTTTTCCTTACCAAGTTTTTATCCCAATTAGATTTTTCTTGGTAAGGTTTTTAACGAGACAATCATGAATTACAAATTTAAAAATAAATAAATAAATAATTTTTTATAAAATTCGTGTGTTCATTTCAAATTTCAAATTGTAATATATATATATATAATATATATAAATATATAAAAAAAATTCGAGCAACTCAATTAGGCTCGGGCAGCCCAACTGAGCTCAGGTAGCCAAAGGCTGCCCGAAGCCCGTCCAAGATGTTTTTCGAGTCGGGTCGGGTAGCCTAAAAATTCAGGCTCGGGTGGGCTCAGTCATCGAGTACAAATTCAAAATTATCGGTGGTCGCGGGTAGTCCGTCCAAAATTTTAGTACTACTCTAAACTAAAGCACATGCCAGCTCTTCTTAATACCTTTGTAGTTTGTTTATATTTTATATTATCCTTCATTCTGCCAAGGTTTTAAAAGGCGAAATCGGAGTTGAGGCGTTTTGTCTTACGCCTTGAGACAAAAATATCAATAAAATAATAATAATAATAATAATAATAATAATAATAAAAAAACTAAATTCATATTTAATAATTATTAAAAAAAAATTTAACCACTTAATCCACCAAAGAACAAATTTATTTCACTGCTAGATGCGTAAAAAAGACTCGATAATCCTTTTTTCTTATGCTGCTGGTTTGGTTGTTGATGCGAATGAGAGATGGGAGGGAAAGACCGTGAAAAAGAGGCTGGTATAGCGTTTTCTTTTTTCATGACTTGAAAGGGCATATTAAATTTGGGCTGTTAGAATTTTGGGCCCAACTAATATTTGGCCCAAGTCTCTCTCTCAGAGCAGCCCAAACTTAGCCCAAGTCTCTCTCTGTCGCAACCCTAAACTTCTCTTTCTCCACAGAGCCGCCATAACGACCCAAAAAACCTTAGCAGCAGTCCCTACTCCTAAAAAAATTAAATCACAAAAATCTTCCTGCTTGATCAGTTATATTTTTAAATTATGATGATTTGAGTGTAGATTTTAAGTTAAATTTGAGTTATAACTTGAGTTGAAGTTATAACTTGAGTTTGTGTTTGGTTGTGTACATTTGAGTTATGATTTGAGATGAGAATCTTTTTAAATTTGTATTGGGTGGGTTAAAATTTGAGTTTGTATTTAGACATGATTTTAATAAAAACTCAATGATAATGAAAAATTTTAATAGGATATATAGATGGGGTTTTATTCGTCTGTTCGTTGTGAACAGATAAAAAAATATCTCAATCAGAATTAAAATAAAAAAGTTATAACGTTTTTAATAATAGAAAAAATATTATTTATTAACTTGTATTTGAGTTTAAAAACTTGAGCTGAAAAGAAAAGTTGAACTCAGATTTTAACCTCTAACTCAAGTTAAAATTTAAGTT